TTTTCATTTAGCAAATGCATTACGAGTAGGGAACAAGAGGAACCCATCTAATTTATCCTCCATGTCCCAATCGGGTCCTCTGGATCATGACATCTTACCTACCATTAACTGAGCAGTCTTCTTTTTTTTTTTTTTTAACAGAGAGTGGGCAGTTCACTCCCCTGAGTCTTTTCCTCTTTTATTAAGACAGAGTGAAAGCCTGCAGGGAAACAGAGAAACCTGAAGACTGGCTCTGTTTGATCTGACGCTGACTGGAGGACAGTACTTACTCAGACTGAGATCTCCACTACTGCGCCATCACTGGGTTCAAACTGTGACCTTAACTCCACAGCTGCTAATATTGTTTTCATAGTGTCGTTTAATGGCTGCGTGAGTAAAGCACTTCTCTGCGGGACAAAAAGGTGGAATGTTTCCTCACCATGTGTCTTATTGGATGTTTCTAGCTGTGTGCACTTGTCTTGGTATGTATGGCAATTAACACAGCATTAGACTGTGCAAAATCGTTCCAAAAATCGTTCAGACATAGGAAGTCTGGGATAAAAATGTCTGTGGAGCACAAAATCCACAGTCATTTTATCCTCTGTACTGCCTCACAGCCTGATGTGTTTCAGCTGCAGCTGATACACCTGCAGCCTGGCCACAGATTTAGCCTCTTTGCAGCTGAGACACCTGCAGTGGGCATATAGAATCACATCCTTGCGCATATGGGAAATTTAACTTTTCCAAGACAACATGACTTGTTATCTGCCAACAGCTTGACGCCCCGTCACATACATTTAATGAGGCGTTATTCGTATATTAACATCAGACATGAACAATGTTGTGCAGGTGAAGGGGCTGGGAGAGCACCTTCACCTGCACCACAGAGGATCAGTCAGCACAGGTGAGATCTGTTAGCTGATTGATCCTCATGCTTGAAAAGGCAGCAGCAGAGCTGCCTCTGGGAACACACACTGGGGAAGAGACGTGGTGAAGCTAAAGGTCCAGCAGAAAGTGCTGGACCCTTTAAGTTAAGCTTTTTGTCAGTTCTGTTTGCATTAAATAAAAAGATGTTGCTGAGCACCCAATGGTTGGACTGGTTCGTCTCTGGCTGTTGTGGTGGGAACCCCATGGCATGGTCGACAGCCACAAATGTATTTCTGCTGTTTAAAGGTAGAGTTCATACATTTCTGTGTTGAAATCCTTTAAATAAAAAAGTTGTCTGGAAAAAAAGACAGAAAAAAGGGCTGGCTCTGTAGCACTAGCAGGACTGTACTAAACTCTAACTGAATGAGATCATTGGCCGGCATAACTGTCACTAACCAACCCGCCTGCCTGCACAGTCTTCAGCCAGATAGAGAGACACCAAACAAGACGATAGCTAGGAGTAAAGGACAGTTCTACAATGTGTGTGTGCTGGACGTTGTGTGCAGAGCTTTTAAGAAACAGTCTATGGTGCAGAGTGAAGTTTAAAAATATTGTGTTATTGTTCATGTGTGTGGTTTATATATAAGTTTGATGGATTTACTTACTGCTGTTATTTGAACACATTGGATGATTTCAGAGGTCTGTTAAGCAATTGTTGGAATCTTCAGACCTAAGTGCAAAACTTTAATTCAGCTCAATATAAAGCATTGCAGCAACAATGTCAATGTTAATTTGATTTGATTTGATTTAAACAAAACAAACATTAAACCTTTACTTTGTAGACATATTGCTGCAGAGGGAGTGATTCTATGAATGTTGGTGCCATGATGGAGATCAGCACTGTAATGGGTCAGGCTGTCTGTGTCACTCTCTGTCAGTCCAATATGGCGAAATAAAAATAATCAAATTATCAAAATCACATGGCTGCGGTTTGACCCAACCACTGCTGCAGTTTATCTGAGGAGGTGGAAGGCAACATGCGCAACTAGTTCAACCGCCACTGAGCAGAGCACTGGTCGCCTCTTTATTCAATTAATATAAACATTAAACGTATCACTTCAAATTGCACAAAACTGGGTCCAGTGTGTAAGATTTAGGTGAAAGGGAATTATTGGCAGAAATTGTAAAATAATCCTCATGATGTTTTCACTAGTTCATTTCATCTAAATTGTATGAATTGTAGTTTGCTTTACCCCAGAAAAGACCCTTTATATTTAAATACTTTATATTTACATCGAGGGGACCCTCTCTACGGAGGCCGCCATGTTTTTAACATTAGTCCAGACTGGACAAACTAAACACCTTTTGAGTTTTTATGACAATTAAAGGCTACCACAGGTTCTTATCATGTTTGGAAGGAGAGCGTGAGGTGAGGGGTGTTCAGCTGCAACATGCAACTTCAACACTAGATATCTAAAAATTCTATACACTGTACCTTTAAGTATGGTACTCTTGTGTATTCTCACCACTGTCTAATTTTGAGGTTGAACCTCTTTAATTGTGCCCTTGAATATCCTTTGTCTGAAGTGAATCTCTGTAAGATTCAAGTCAGAGTTGCATTCCATCTATTCAGTTGATTAAATGAAAGTATTTTAAATGATTACACTGTTACGTGTTTCACAGACTAACAAACTGTGAGTGGTGAAGGCAGAGCTGGGAAAACACTTTAATGATGCTCCTCATGTACATCTTCATCTCCCACAAGAGAAGACGATTAATCCCATTTCTTTATGCACCAGAATACATATGGCCTACACAGGGCAGTAAGAGAGTGGGCGATATATAAGACAGAAGTTCCTCGAAGAAAAAAACTGTAAAAACTCAAGGGCACAAGTCGGTTGAAAAGATGGAGACAGGGAAGATTGAAAGCTGTGGACAGAGAGAAAACCAGACCTGTTGATCAAAGAATATGTGTGCAAGCGGGGGGAGCTTGTAAACCTGCGATGCAGCGTCAATTAAATGTACTTTAATTTATGGGGCCAAGTTGGATAGAGAGAATTTAGAGGAAGAGAGCGGGGCGATAACCTGTGGCGCCGGGCTGTACTGAAAATTTGTTACAGGCAGAGGTCACTAAATCCTGCCTGGAAAGGAGAGGAGTAATAAAAAATTAAAAAAACATAGCCCAGGTCTAACAAGAGTAGAGTTGCAAATGAGTAGTGCGATACTGGCATTTGAGGTTTGGAGAGGAGAGTGTGTTCTCTAATTAAAAACTACCCAAAGGGGCTATCTCCTGCTATGAAACAAGTCACTCTCCTCCTCCCACTCTCACAGCCATCAAATCCTCTTTCTCTGCACCCCCCCACTCTCATGCCATCAACTCCCCCTCCACCTGGCCTGATAGGAGGTTTTAACGAACTCGGAGAGAGAGAGAGGTGATTTGGGAATAGAGTAGAAAGCGAGAACAGACAGATAGGTAATGAGCTTACAGCCATCAGTGCAGCATTTCTAGGATTTGATGCGAAACAATAACATGCAAGAGAAGCTAACATTTAGAGGATGATGCACACATATGAATTTAAATGCATGCACGTACACCTGTGTGTGTGTGTGTGAGAATTCACATGTATCTGTCAGATTGTAGGCAAAAGTGAACACGCCATCATTACTGTGGTGGCATCTCATTTGTGAACCTGCGATAACGTGGTATGAAATTATATTTTCAGCAACTTCTTGTCGAGGAGAAGCTGCATGTCGATATACACTAATCAAAATACAAACAAAATACAACTATGTTGAACATTGTGTGGCCAAATTTAGTCATTTTATTTCACTGACAACCAAACAACTATTCACCTGCAAATCGCCACAATGAGCTCATTGTGCTGTGTGTGGTTTTCAGCTGCAGAAACAATGGCGCACACACTGTAGCTCCTTTCAATGCAGATTTACTGAGACATCCACCGACGACCAGAGCTGCATGCTCTACTTCAGACTCAACATGAAGAGCATGGTGGATGACTAACTAAAGCTTCACTGAAGTGGAGCCAAAGTGTGCAGACCTATATTTTTGTCTTTCGGCTTTGAGTTGTTTAAAGCTAGGGTTGGTAATCCCAAAAAAGCTAGCAAGGGCAGGCTACACTTATGCAACAAATATGCAACCGATACTTCCCACCCCCTCACATCGGCGCTCGCGTCATAGCTACTCTCCCAAACTTCATAAACATGCACTGAATCACGACTGCTACAGGATGACTTTTCCATGACTCACTCGCTAACTTATGGCTATCGTCTCTTCTTTCTTTTCGTCCAAATTAATCATCATGTTTATTACATTCCTGCCAAGGCAGACACCGGCTTTATTTATTGATGGATATCAGGACTTAAAGAGGATTTCAACAAGTAATATTAAAAGTGTTTTCAGAGAGAAATTACCCACCCTTCCTTTAAGCATCCATGTGTGTTTCATGGGATGTGCACATGATTTGCAGCTGCTCAAACAACAAGCTTCACCTTTGAAAAAAATGCGACAAATCTACAAACCTGTGCAGCATGACATTTTTTTGTTTGGAATTCATCGAAAAAACAAACCCTGATGACAATTTGTAAATTTATTAACACAACATAGCAAATGCTGAAACATTGTTTCTGCTGATACATAGCTGGAAGTGAGACTATGAAACTTTTGTTGAACAGCAGCTACAAATCGTGATTACAGGATAGACTGAATTTCCTTTCATTTCTGTCCTTTCAGTCAGTTGCTTCAAGATAACATCATTAGGCAGCATGATAAGAGCGAGTGGAATAGGACCGCGAGCACAAATCAGCAGTGCTGACTGTTCACTGCTTTATTTAGATGACAGAATTCCTGAAACGTTTATTTATGACGTGCTAAAACACAGTGTAACCGCAGTGCAGGTGGAGGAGAGCTGCAATTAATGTTGTGGTTGTTTTTTTCCCCCAAAAGCAGACGTCAAGTACAATTTCATTCTCTTCATTCTCAGTCAGTTAAAGTAGGTTCAGTCTGACCCTGCCACCACAGTAAAGATGGTGTCACTGCAGGACAGCAACACATAAATCAGAAGTCTGACTAGTCCATACATCCAGTGTGTGTACGTGTGTTTGTGTGTTCAGTATGTACAGTATGTGACACTCACTCCACTGGGGGATTGATGTCCTCAGCTTTCGTCTCAAAGAAGCGCAGCACCTCCTCACTCTGAGAAATCTGAGGGGGGAGTCGCACCAGCGCCTGAGGAGACAGACAGAAAGAGAACAGTGGGTACAAAAAAAAAGAACACAGCCTACGATCAAAAAATATCATTTTAGTGATCATAGGGCACTCTGGTGATACAATCTGGAAATTAGATGCATTTTAATATCAGATTTAAATTGAGTCTTTTGGAGTGTACTAAGTAAATGGGAAATTGTTTTCCTTACCATAAAATTGTAAGGTGACAATATGTTAATAATAATAATAATAAATAATGCATTGTATTTAAAACACATAATAACAATGCAAAAACGGCAAAATATCAGATGATTAATGAACCAATATATAAAAATAGGCTAATAAGTATGTATAAAATCGACAATAGTAAAAACAAGACACAGAATAAGCAAGTCTTAAAATGGCTTTGAGACGAGATGATGGTGGGGAGAAAGTCAGTGTCACAGATGGCTTGTGGGAGAGAGTTTCAGAGAAGAGGGGCTGCACAGCTGAAAGCTCCAGAGCCCATAGAGCATAAGTGGGCAGGAGGAGTAGTGAGGAGGAAGATTGGAGAGTATGGCAGCGTTGTGTTCACAGCTCGTTCCACCACCCCAAAGAAGCCATGGCTGGTGCAACTTTAAAAATCTTTGATTCCTTAAAATGTAAAGGTTTGTTTTCCTCATTTTTAAAGGTTTTAAAGGTCATATTTATATTAGCAAAAAGGTAATCACACTGTCAATTAGAGGAAATAAATGTCTAGACCATTTCAGCCATTCTTGCTCCTCTGTTCTCTCCCTGTACTTTCACTGACAAAGCCAAACTACAGTCAAAGAGAGGATCGTATGTCTGGCTAACCATGTATATTTAATGATCTAGCCTGCTTTCACCAAAGGCATAGCTCATGTACAGTAGTGGGGTGCTGGACCATGAACATGTGTGGCGACATGCACGATCGGCACAGACCCGAGCTCCCTTCATATTTCATTCATTGGTTCCTATATTATTGAAAGAGCCTTGTAGTTGTGATTGAAGAGGCCATATCTGGCTGTGCACCCACAGCTGGCTGGACTCACCATCCCGCAATCTCCAGAGAGCAGATCCTTTGACAACACTGGGTAATTACTCTTCCTCTCTGTTGTTTGGCTCGTAAACAGGATGTAGGAAGTAAACAGTGCGACAGGCTCCACAGTGCTGAGCTAAGAAACCGGCTCGCTACAGCAAACTGTAAACATTAGAGCACTTGGGTCATTTGGGTAATTAGGAAGCTGGTTCCCGTTTCATAAAGCCTCGCTTGTGCTGGGCTACGGATCGAGTTCATTTCATGATGTGTATAATTGCTTTTGGTTTTTTACTTCTTTTGGTCCCAATTACCAAGCTGATACTGTAGCTAACCTTTCCTAATGCAGGCCAACGATACTGCTGCCTAATTGTGTGTATGGAGACAAACACACTGGCTTTTTGCCAAGAGGAAGGAAGGAAGTGGGGAAGGTAGGGCGGAGGAAGAGATCTGAAACCAGGATAAATAAAAACTTAATAAGGGAAGGAACAGGAAGTGATAAGGCGAGTCTCCCTTGAACTATAGAATGAGAAACGCCATTACTTTCAAGGACACTAATTTAGGGGAGAACTTTCTTTTTTCTTTTCCTGACTCTCAAATGAGGGGATGAGGTTATTAGTGTGTGGGAGTTTGAAATGATGGAAGACCTCAAAGCCTGTTTCATGATGTGCAGTGGCAGAGAAGTTGGATGCACAACTAGGTCGCTCTGCTTCTCTGAATGTGGTGCATGTGACAATAAACAAAGCTGCAGTCGGAAAAGATCATAAAGTTTTCCCATCCGAGTCAAGTCCCTCACTGCCTCTGCAAACCAAAGTGTCACAGTAGATTAATTTAAGGCTCAGGAAAGCACTAATAAATATTGTAGCTCGTCACTGTGAGCGCCATGTAAACTCTTTCCACGTCCACAATTGTGTCTAAGCATCAGACCCCACGTTTAAAGCATGTGAAGGGACGGTATAGACTGTGACTTCTGACCCCTCACAGACTGGGGGACATTCCCCAGAGTCAGATGGGGGAAATGAAGGATGTTTATAGTAAGGCCTATTTACCCTGCAGTAGTCGTCGATGAAACGCAGCCGCTTCATGGCCACATCTCGCACATGACTCCTCCGGAACAGGATCTTGCCTGGAGTGAAGGAAAGGAGGGAGAAAGTACAAATAAAGGTAGGAGGTGGTGGTGATTGATACAAAGGAGAAAGTATTTATATACATGTATCATAAAGTATTTGACATATGCACAAAGCACCTCCCAAAAAACATCCTATCTGAGCTGATTTCACAATGCAGACTGCTGCGTGTAATACCCTATACTGCCGGGAGATGGTGGTAATGCAGGGGGGTGATCCTTCATCATGGCCAAACCAATCTCAATCCCACACTCAAAGACCCAGCTGTCTGTCCCCCTATGGATTCCATGACCTCTGTCTGTGACATGGCTTTCTAAATAACAAATAGGATCTATTCACACATGGGACATGCATTTTAGGCCCTCCTCTCATCCCACACATTGGGAGCAATAAAGCCCACCACTGAGGATCACAGGCCCCTATACAGACGGTATGCACTTCATTCTTCTGGAGGGTTTCTTACTATATAATCTTTTTTGCATGCTGCTATTTAAGGAGACTAAAATAAATAATTGACTAAAGTGAACTGACTGAGAATATTTACAAGTATGTTAAGTATGAAAGGACAACTTTCAAAAGAGACCAAGGGGGAGTTTTTACCAGACTGGGTATTGCTTTAATAACTTTGAAATTGTTGGAACCAAAACTTCTTTCATTTCATCACTTTGTTTATATATAACCATATATAACCATGTTTTTTTTCCTATCCTTTTTAGCAAAAGACTCAGACATTCAATGTAAAAAGTTCTCTTCACACATGCAAAATGCTCGATGACTTTGCCTGAATAAAAAATGGGAAAATTGAGATTGAAAACCATAGCTATCTTATCATGGAGGATAATAAGTTTCAATACAATCTAATTGAATTAGGTACCAAAAACAGGATTTTAGATTTTAATGTATGTGGTTTGAATATCTTTCAACTTTCTTATGATCAAATTCTTTGATCTTCAAATTGAGTCTCTAGTTCAAGCTGGACTTTTTTTTCTTCATTTTTAGATAAAGAAGTGGTCCGTCGAAGATTCAAAGTGAAATAATTTAAAGTTATAAATACAACAGTATCTAGATTTCAACCATAACTATACAGTAGAGGTATGCGGCTCTGTCAAATACCAATTTCGTTGCTTCGAAGCTTCAATGACACTTTTTCATAATCTTGCCCTTGTTGGTGTAACTTATTGTAAGTCTGTCACATGATCACATGTCACTGCTGGTAATGATAGATGAGAGCTGTGAGGCATAAGATCAAATGTCCTTGTCTAATATTAATAATATTTAATGTCAATGCATAAATGATGTTGGATTACTGTTTCTTATTTCATGGGCTATTAGTATTTTACTTGTAATATATACATGTGTATAATAATAATGATAATGTTTAGTGTGTATATGACTACTGATTTGTACTACCAATTTAAATGCTCAATGTCCAAATGTTGTATTGCTTTTACATCCGATATCAAACAAGTAAAGATTAAGTGATTTCTAATGCATGTTTATCACAGACCTTTATCTGATCTATAGTCCTGCAGACTACATTTGAGTCAATTTTTTTCTAACACAAGTGTCCTCAAACAAACACTCAATAATGTGTCGCCAGGTGACAGATTCAGAGGACGAGGAGGGATTGAGGGTGGAGAGCATTTACAGGAGATACTGGGCTCATGCATGGGCATAAACATATAGATGCACACACATATTTACACAAGACATCAGTGTGATTAGCAGAATTCCTCTCAGCCCTTCTGCCCCGGACACTGAACTGCCACAAATACCACCATCGATCACTGCCAAGCCGTACTGTAGGTCACCATGAACCTGAATGTCAGGCAACGACTTGCAGCAGGAGAGATGAGCACATGTGGCATGACTTAAATCAATACTAGGACATGCACAAGGTAAATCACACACACACACACACATCCGCATAATAAAGTAATCAAATGCGTATACATAAGCTCGACAAAAACATAAACACAAAGTCGTACAGACATGCAATCAGCTGAGATTTGAAAGTCACTGATAATGGCCTGTCAGCAGTAACATGGTACACACACAGCTATACTATACACACACACAGGCACACACACATGCACCACAGGCAGGCATCAGTAACCAGCTCATATTGACGCCCCGCGAGTGCCAGCCATACATTATTAATATGGGAGCCTGTTCAGATAACTGGAGCTCAGGAGCAGGCTACTACCTGGGAGAAATGGAATGATCCTCTTCTTCGGGTCTTTTTGCCCTCCCTCAATTGGGAACTTGTCAAGTATCTGCATCTGCAGAGGGAAGATGAGAAAAAAAACAGTTTAGTTTTGTAGCTTAAAGTTTGACTTTCAGCATGTTGGGAAATAAGCTTATCTGGTTTCTGTGTGACAGTAAGATAAGTCAACAGCAAATATCAGAGTCAATATTAAATATAAAGCTGGAGCCAGGATGCAGTTTAGCAAAAGAGAAAAAGCCAATTCAGATGTTACCATATTTAACATCCATATGTTTTACGCAAATGTTTCATTTATTCATTGAATGGTGATTTAATGTTATTGTCATTTTAGTCATTTGTTTCCCTTCTTAATACCTCCAAGGAAAATGGAGATTTTTTTCTAACTTCAAACAACATAAAAATATGAGCATTCATGTTGTCATTGCCTAGCAATGTTCTGGCCACTTAACCCCATTAGCATCAACAATACTGTGTACACAACTCCCCATCTTGTAATCACGATCTCACTGATGCCATGTAATGGTGGTATAAGGAAGAGGTGCATTTCTCTTTCTATGGTGCAGAATAATTCCTAGTTCACACAACACAATTTTTTTCCGCCGATTTCCCACTTGCACACAAATTTCAGAACTCGATGACAAAAGCTCTACATCAGAGCCAAATCAGCGTCAGATCGGCAGTTGCCTATGAACTTTTCAAAGACGGGATATAGGCTCGCCAACATGTCACCTCCTCCAACTAGAGTTCTAGCTGGCTAAATATCTAGACAAATCTGGACAACTACAGCCAATCAGAGCAGACCAGAAATAGCCAGTGGTTTCTTAGATCTGTAGTGCGCGCCCCCCCCCCCACCGTTGTCAGTCAGTATAGTATGAACTCACAACAACTCCAATCACAAGGCAGCGAGTAGTGTAGTGTGACAGCACCGCCATTTAACGATTTTGAAAGTCACGTAGTGTGAACTCCTTTCCATCAGCACCTAAACTGTACTGAGAGCAACCCTCCTATCCTAACCTAAGTTTCGTTGCTGAAAAATCCCATTCCTCCAGTGCATTACAGATGAGTTGTTCCACTTATTTTACTCGAAAAAAGAAAGGCTTAATATGTGGCAAATATGGCTCCCAGAGATGACTAAAAAAAATGTACTTTCCATTTTTTATCTATTTTTTATCTATTTTTCATCTTTTCTCTTCAAAGAGGATGTGCAGCACTTTGGGGATGACAACCCTCATATGCATTTAATCCCAAACCCACATGAGCGTATCACACATATTCTAAAAATCAAATCCTGTCAACACATCTTTAGTCCCAAGGGCAGCAGAGCAGCAGGGCAGCGGTGGGTCGGTGAGCCGAGGGGTTCACAGGAGTCAAACGAGCTCAGATTTATTCATAAAGACACCGACATGGTGAGAAGAGAAGTGCTGACACCGGAGTTGGAGGTGCAGGAAGAAGGAAAAAGAGCGAAAGAGGGAGGATGGAGACAGAGAGAGAGACAGAAAAAAGGTGGAGCCGAAACAGGGAAAATGAAAGAGACGAGGCGCAAAGAGAAAGAGAGATGCAGCAGAGGGCAGGGGGTGTATATGTATGTGTCAGCCCTATTGTGTTTACCCAGTTTCACCCTTCAAATAAATCATTCAAGAGAGGGATTAGAGAGAAAGTAAAGGAAAAGCAGAGGAGAGATGCAGAGCACCAGCAGATGTACTGTACTTTACAGCACTGCAGCAAACTGTTTCCTACAGTAATCAGAGATGGAAAGGAGCTGATGAAGAGTAAGCATGTGTATGTATATGTTTGTACGCTTGGGGGATGGAAGGAAGATGATTAAAGGAAAAATGAGAAAGGAGAGAAGCGATTAGTTATGTCTGTATCTGATGGCCAAGGGCTGTAAGAGACCCTGGGGAACTAAGTGAGCAAACAGCCTGGTGGGGCTCCATATGTGTGGAGACAGTGGGACAGCCTGACACAGACAAACAAACACACACACACACACACACACACACACACACACACACACACACACACACACACACACACACTTTATCAAATCCCCAAAGCAACCTCCTGACACATGGTTCCCTAGATCCAGTTCTTTCTGTCCATCTGTCAATCCGCATCCACCTTTTCATTGAACTCCTGTCTTCTTTTACCTGGTTCCACTTGGCTGGAGAGTTAGAGGACACCAGAGAGAGAGTGGGAGGGAGGGAGGGAGAGTCGACACTTTAACAGTCTTCATCCAGATTCATGGTCGACAGTGGCTCAGGAGGCAGAGCGACATTGTCCACTCATCAGAAGGTTGGTGGTTTGAATGTGTAAAGTGCTTTGAGTGGAAGATCTATATAAATTCATTCAGTCATCTCAAAGACCCCCAAAACCCCAAGTCCTAGCCCTAGCCCTCCTGGAGGAGCTTTTCATAAAGCTGCTTTCTGCATCCACACAATAAGCTCTGCTGCTGCGGCAGCACAAAACTTGAAGCAGGCCCAGCTGTTTGGACCCCCTCCCCATGCTGCCTGGGACAAAAAAATCCTGCTGAATTTACAACCCACCGTGGCAGACACCCAGGGGTGGACGGATGATAGACAAGTAACTTAACATTTAGCAGAGTAGCACATGCTGAATTTATAACACTTACTCAAAATGTGGCTGCACCCCTTTTTTCCACTCTCTTAACAAAGATTAATGATGTGGTGAAATATGAGATGAGCAAAATGTTTAGAAAGTGTGTGGTTGAGTAAATATATGCTATACGTGTGCTCATGTATGTGCAGGTGCTAGAACTGGAAAGGACAGAAACCCCTCTGAGGCTTGACGTGTCAGCTCTCGGCTCATGTCATCTTCGATCCACTTTCACCGGCTTCCTTTTCCCCAAAGTTCAACACTCAAGCACCTCCCCGTCCCACCCCAGTCCCAAATGGCCCACTTGGATGAAGGTCTGCTCATTATTTAAAACTATCTCCAGTTGTCGAGCTCGCCCTGAAATACACGCTGCCCTGACAGATTCCTGGCAAGAGGAAGTGTGTTCACATCCCACCAGGAATTGCTGGATCACAGGGAGAGAAAATGGTGAGAGCAGGTGGGGCGGCGGGAATCAGGTGACGGAACCTGTGACACAACTGCCCCTTTTTACATGCATGCATACCCACTGTACGCTGCGGAGTGAAGCACTAAGCACCTCACTTAATTCACTTGCAATATAATAAACATGCAATCATCAGTCCGGGTGGTAATTCTCAGTCCCTAGAATGTAAAACCAGAGCGAGAAGAGGAAAAAAGGAAAAAAGGCTCATGCCAAACCGTTGCTCCACTTCCCAGACTTCACTTCACTGTCTCCTTGGTAACCAGCACAGAGATAGTGTGAAGAAGAGTTGTGAAGGGACGTGATTGGATGGTGCTGTGCAGCACTGGACCACTGGTGTAAATGTTGGGAGTCAGGTAATAAAAAAGCAAGAAGATGAGGTTCTTTTATCTCTCGTCAGAATGAGTACAGATTAACTTAAAACATAAAAAGAAGCCCCTTTCTGTGTGTGATAAATGTGACATGGTCCTATCTAAATATAAAACCCAGGATATTTTGTAGAGCTCACTCTAATATGGCCTTGGAAAATGTACCCACACCTAATGTGCATAAATTAATTATTTTTAAAAAGACATCCAAGGATAGTAAATGGTTACACCTCAAACAATCCAAGCGTTGGCTGGGGTTCTGCTGAGAGAGCTAATCCCCCATTAATAAACATTTATGAACATAAATCACAGTTAAATCAACAATGCCATAATGAAGCATATAGGGAGGAGGGGTGGTGGAGAGAGCTGTGGCAGCTTGGGTATTGGCATGAGGGGTATCAGCACTAATGGAGAGGTTCACCTCCAACCAAGACTTAACCAAACTGTGTCTAAACCATAGACTGTATATAAAGAGGTCTAAACTAAACTCAGTCTACACTTGTTCATTTGGGTACTAGACATATTGACAAACAGACCTGAGACCAAGGAGAATACTACAAGGCTTCAACCTTATCTGATTGGACTGATTTGGGTTTAATCAGTCCAAAGACAGCTCTTAGATCGTAGGAATCAACATAAGGTCTCACGCCTGCAGTTAATGATTAGCTTCAATGATAGCTGTTATGTTGTTTCCAGATTTTTTTTTTGTAAACTGTTAAGGAAAACAGAAAACAGTCAGAAAGAAAACTGAGGACATGCCTTTGGCTTGTCCAACCTATAATTCAAAGTCAAACGATAAGAAATCTACAATGACATGAAACAGAGGAAAGCAGCATGTCTTCATACTTGAGGGGATAAAAACCAGGGAATGTCTGCTACTTTTGCTTAATAAATTACACACAATAATTATTAGTTTATCATTTAATTAATTGATCAACTAGTTGTTTAAGCACCTGTCTTAGGGTCTGTTATGGCTGTATGCGTTTCCTGTTCTGTGTCCCTGATTTTCTCTTGTCTCTCCTCTTGCTCCAGCCTGATTAAACCAATCTGTCATCAATGAGGTGCACCTGGCCAGTGGACCGAGATTCTTTAAAAGCTCCTGTGTCAGGATCAGAAGGGAGGCTTCCAGTGTGGGGGCTGCTGGGCCTCAGCATGGGGTTTTAACATTGTGTCGTTTGATGATGATAAATCCCATGGTTCTGATCTTGATTTGTGTCAGTGGTGGTCAGTGATTTTACATGTTCCTTGCCTCATAGGGCCAGGTATATTTTTTCCCCAAAATGTAACTTTATACAAGAACACTAATCAAACAAATCAACACAACATCCACTTCAAGGACAATATGAAGTATCTAAATCTAAAGTATAATCCACAGTTACAACTCGACAGGGTCTGTGTTGAAAGAAAGAGTTGAACAGCAGCTCCGTCTTCATATCAGCCACATGTGCTAAGAATAGAGCCTCCATATAAGGAGCTGTGAGAGTCAGTTGGCATAAACTTGAGGGATGCCATACTGTTATTGTGCAGTGAATTGATGCCTCACTTCCTGTTAGTGGTCACGTGACAGCGAGGGTTTACCCCAGGCTTCACAGCAGTGGAACAGAGTGGAATGGA